TTTAATAAAATTAATTAATAATTTAATTAATCAATATTAAATATAAATATTCAAAGTGATTAATAAGTATAACATATTCTTTTTTTAATTTTTTTTGATATTATACAAATAAAAACTTAAATAATTAAACAAGTAATTAAAATACAAATTTAGCATTTTTCATGTAATTGGGCCAAAACCATTTCTTAACAAGCCGTTGTTACATGAACGTCGTCGTCAGAGCTACAAGTCGTTGTTTCTGGAGTTGAAGGGAGGAGTTTTGCTGCTAGAAACTTAATCCAGAACAAATCATTATCAAACTTCGAATGTCGTGGGTCCGTGCTATGGTGATGCATCCTCGCGGTCGTGAAGGTGTGTTGCTTTTGAGATGTTGTAGTTGTGATGGTTATGTCGTGTAAATCATAGTGTTTCAGTGGTGCTGAAAAGATGATGATGAAGTGAAGTTGAGGTTGTGTCTCCTTTCTTAAGCGAGCTTGTGTATGGGAAACTAAGAAAGATGAAAGGGAGTATGTTAGTGGTGGGTTGGCAGTATATGATGGTATCCAAAGGTTTGTTATGTGTGTTTCCTTCCTTTTATGAAAAGTAGATGATGGATGTGGTGTTATTTTTTTCATTTTCTTTTTCTTTGAATAAAGCTTGTCTTTTTGGATTTAAGGAAGTGAGGTGAAGATGATGGTGATGAAGAGTTTAATGTTAGATGAGTTTGTTAAGGTTTTTGAGTGGGAATGCAGCTCGGTTCATGGCTAGTTTTTTGTGTGAGAAAAGTATGGGAAAAATGTGATGTGTACTGTGAGGAGAGGAAAAAATGAGAGGGTGAATAGTTTATGGTTTGTCAAGTGAAGAGGTTAATGGAAGTTGGAGGAAGGTTTTTTTTAGTGTTGTAGTAATATGAGGAGTTTGTGTTTTATGGGGGAAAGTTCACATGGAGAAGATGATGAATAGTCGCAGTTTGAGTTGTTTTTGTATGGTGAAGAGTTGATGAAGTAGTTTTTGTGTTGATGTTTTAATATTGATGGAAGGAGATGAGGAAAGGTGAGATTGTGTATGGTGTCATGGAAAAGTGAGGTGGAGTGAAGGTGTTAGTGGATCCGTGTGGAAGAAAGTCAAGGTTGTGTTGTTATTAGTTTGAATTGTTGAGTGATGGTGGCTTGTGTTGTTATTGAAGGAGCACAATGGTGTTGTTATGGTAGGGAGGTAGTTTTCAAGTGTATGAAGCCATGGATAATGATGATTGAATAAATATATGGAAAAATGAGTTCACATGGTGGTGCCTGACGTGTTGAGGAAGATGGTGTTGTTCTTTTTGCTAAAGGAGTGAAGGTGTTAATGTTGTGAGGATAATGTGAGGTTGCACATATCTAAGAAAAATTAAAAGGGTGAGGGATGAAGAGAGGTTACATGCATATGGTACTGGTGTTATATGATGAAGTAGAGATTTAAAAGAATGGTGTTAATGTGTCTTTCATGGTCTGGTAGTTCTTGGTCTTTTTAGGCTATTCTTTTTGGAATTAAGAATGAGAAAGAGTGTTATGAGAATGGTTTATGCAAAATATGGAGATGAAATTAGTTGTATTAGGTGGTATATGATGTTTTGCGTGTGTGGTTATGATCAAGAGCACATGTGGTTTACCAAAATGAAGCTAAACATAAAATCACTTTTGAAAACTTAAGTATTAAGGGTTACCTTTATTGAGTTATACCACATGCATAAGTTGAGTCGTCGTTGCATTGTATTACATAAAGGTTGTATTGATTTGTGTAATTGAAATTTATGAAACTTGATGTTTTCCTTTAGGCTACCCTTGCACTATTTTGCACCATTATATATATTTTGAGTGTATTTTTACCTCTTTGATTTATTGTGGTGTTCTGTGCTCCTTCTTGGGATACAAACGAACAGTTAGATGAGCAGCTGCTTTATAGCTGAAAGATGGAATTGAAGTTAGTCTTTCTTTCTTGTTTTATGCGTTTAAGATTATCGTTGCTCTGATCTGTAACATTGGACGGACAAACATTATGTTTTATTTTATTCTGAGTTATTGTTGTGAGATTAAATGTTATAACTCCTGGTTTTTAGTTGCTTTGATGTTGAAGGCACATTTCCTTGATTGAGTATACTTTTAAATAAAATTTATATTTGAAATTATTTAATGGAGTAGTCATTTTTAATGAGAAATTTCAACGTGATGAGCCTAAATAAAAGCGAGCATGTGATGATAGGTGTTTTGAATTAAACGTTTTATTTTAATAACTATCATATAACAAGTTAAATGTGGAGATTTTGTGACACCTTATGTGAGGTAGTGGTTTATAATTTATTTATTCCATATAATTTCGAGTGAGGATTTTAGGGTGTTACACTCATCGTGCCCACAATACCTTTTATTGCACTCGCGATACCTTGCTATCGTGCCCACGATGGGGCGCGAGAAATCCAGTAGCTTTTTTCATCCTTTTGTGCCTTTTCAACAATTTTCACTAAGTCCATATTTTCTTCACACTTGGTCATTCTAAGCACTTATTTGACACTTTTGCTTTATATTTGACTGAAATTGCTCTAGATTCTTGTCAAAAACATATAATAACAGAGTGTCATCACAACCCCAAACTTAATCAATTGCTTGTCCTCAAGTAAGTTACCTGCCACTTTACATTTCAACAGAAAAACAACATACTAACTATAACCAACGAACATAATTTATTTTTTTTAAATTTTAAATAAAAGTATAACTTCAATTACCTATATAACATCAAATTAAACATGTGATCCAATAGGTTCCTAACAAGTTCATAAAAAAAACCTAATTTGTAGGAGTTTAGATACTCATATTGATACAAAGAAATACCAAGAAATAAGACGAAGATAACGTGTGAAATCCTTGAAGAGTTTGACCTCCAATGCTTCCAAAATCGCCTTATTGTACCTTTTGTTGTCACTTTCAGTCAAAATAGCAGAACCCTTGTAAAAGTACCAAAGTTTCCATTTTATAGTCATTAAAACGCGTAAGAAATGTGTCATAAGAGTCTAAATTAAAGGCTCGTCTCACCCACATTACTTTTTATCGCACATGATATACCTTGCTGTCGTGCCCATAATGAGGCACGATGGGGTGCCCATAATAAGATATTGGATTAGTATTACATAATTTAGTAATCAATAGTAAAATAAGATTGGATTAGTATTACATAGTTTAGTAATCAATAGTAAAATAAGATTGAGAGTTATTTATGAACCTTAACTAACTTCTTAAGTGTAACAAACTTATGCAACCAACTTTACACTTGCATGGCTGATATATATATGCTCCATGCAATCTTCATTGATATATAGAGATTATGAACAAAGTTCAATGAAAAACTCAAGATGAATTCAATTCTTAATAAACAACGAGTGATAAAATGAATTGACAATTAAAACGAGTATAACTAATCATTATGTATACATGTAGATATAGTATTAGCAATCTAATCCTAACATCCTTTTATCATTGTTATTCTCTTATTTTTATTTAATTTGTTATTGGTTTAATTTCTCAAACAAAACATCTTTCAAAACAAATCCTAAATTGCTTAAAATAGTAAGAATTACCTCAACATTACAAACTTTTAGTTCTACCATATTATAGGTATCTTATTACATCTTAAGATCCCATTTATTTTCTAAATTTCTTAAAATAGTAACAATTACTACAACAAAAAAAAAGACTTTTAATTCTATCATATTTTGGATATTTTGTATAGACATCTCATACATTTTGAATATTCACTTATTCTTCAACAGTTATCTTAAATTACTTAAAATAATACCAATTATCTATAAGTTGTACTGTAAGGTGGTACAAATATACTAAAAAATTATAATAACTTATAACTTATTTTTTTTCTTTTCAATTTCAGTCATACTATCTTAATTGAAAAAAAATATATTATTTAAACATATTTTTAAATTATTTTATAAATATAAGTTAGTCTATTTTAATCAACATTACAAATTTAATCAATTAACTTATTTACCACCACCCATTACCAATTTATAAACTAAAAATAAATAAATAAATTCATCAACAATAAATTAATTATCAACTATCCATCATTTTTTTTACAAACAAAGTGTATACATACATATCACATTTTTCTAATATCACATTAAAAATATTGGATATGATTTTCACTTTTGATTTTTTCAAATTAAATTACGCAAAAACATTTCAAAAGTCGGCACATTCCAACATATAATCTTTAATATCAAAATTGTAATTATCGATAATATACAAATCGAGTCAAACCGTTTCTTATTTTAGCAATAAAATTCACATAAATATTTATTATTTTCTTTTCCTATTGAATAGAATACAATGTTTTTTCATTTATTTAATCTTTAAACAATTTTTCTCTTGTTTATTTTATCATATTGAATTACATTTTGATAACTATGAATTTGAAAAGCATATCCTTTTCAATTAAAAATTCAATTTATTTATTTAAATTCATAAACAATATTCATAAAAATTAAATACAATACAATTCAAACTCTCAATAAATTTTAGTCAAAAAAACCTTAAATAAAAATAAATAAAAATATTAAAAATTGAGATAGTCTACATCACAAATCCTCATCTAAAAGAACAAAGAATACAAAAAACAGTAGGTACCCCAAATATTTCTATGAACTAACACATTTTTGCCATGTCATCAATCCATGTGAAATTCTCCATAATATAATATCAACCCTTAGATCATCATCATTCTATTGATTCCTAGCCGTTCATTGTCTTGTTCAGACAAACACAAGATATATCTTGGGAAAAAGAAGAGCAAACTTTTTTTAATATATTTAATTTCTTTCCAATCTTTTAATACATTTATCTCCCTTTAAATTCAATCCTTAGTTCTTCCATCAATCACTCACAATCTCATTTCTCATAACAAAATTTCTGTCTCTCTCAGATTTTTTAACTCAAATTTTTAGCTTTTTTTTTCATCACTCTTTTGCAGCTTCAATGGCAACTAGAGAGGTTAATAAGCCTCAGTCACTTCCTCCTTACCCTGAGGTAAACACAAATATAAACCCTAAATTTTACTTTTTTTTTCATGAATATTTATTCTGTACTATTTTCTTAGTAAAGGTGAAATTTTTTCATTGATCCGTTTCTTCTAACCATTTTCACTTACTTGGGTTGTTTTTTTTTTATTTTTTTTTTTTAATATATTTTTTTAATCTCACTTGTATATTTGAGCTAGTTTTTGCTTTGGGGTTTTGAAAAATTTATGGGTTCTTTGATCTTTGCATGATTTTCACAACATGGTAGCTTTCCTGGTGTAAAAGATTGATTTTTTTGTTGGTGCATGTGGTTTTGTTGTAGTTGATACTGAAGGCTATTGATGCGTTGAATGAGCCAAATGGATCAAACAAATCAGCAATATCAAACTACATAGAATCGATTTACGGTGATCTTCCAGAAGGCCATTCGGTTGTTCTTTTATATCATCTGAACCAGATGAAGGAGAGTGGAGACCTTGCTTTTGCGAAGAACAACTACATGAGGCCTGATCCAAATGCTCCACCGAAGAGAGGGCGTGGTAGGCCTCCAAAGGCGAAGGATCCGTTGGCCTCACCACCTTCTGGTGCGGTGTCGACACCGAGGCCAAGGGGTCGTCCGCCTAAGGAGCCTAAGGATCCTAATGCGCCACCAAAGACTCCCAAGACTTCTGGGAGTGGTAGGCCAAGGGGTAGGCCGAAGAAGATTGCAAGAACTGATGATGCTGATGTTTCAACTCCTGCTCCTCTGAGTGTTGCTGCTGTTAATGTTGATGTTGTTGTTCCTTGTGTTGCTGCTGTTCCTACTTCGAGTGGGAGGCCAAGGGGTAGGCCTCCAAAGGTGAAGCCTCAGATGACGCAAGTGAGTGTTTCTTAGATGGATGGGGAGTTTGAAAGATGAGTAGTGATGATGTGTAGAACTAGAAGTGGGTGTGGTCTTATATTAGATTATTATTATTGTTACTGTGATGTGTTGTGTTGTTGATGTAATTGCTTTGTAAAATTCATGTAGTGGTAGCTTAGTTTAAGAGATGGTTTGTTGGTGTTTAATGTCAATGAAGACAGTGACTTTGGGCTCATATTATTATCTTGACTTGTTTTGTCCTCTTTTTATAAGGCTATGCATCAATGAAAGGGATTCGAGTTATTATTTTGGTAACCAATTAGTATTACAATAGAAATAATTGGTATTGGGATACACCCATCTTGTAGTCACATTTTTGATAAACTAGCTAGTCTATAGTCACATGAATTTGCATAAACAAAGTCCTATTTGGGCCCCAAAATCCTAAATTTTCTGCCAAATATTTTACATCTCGCGTTAGAAGATGAACATTTCTCTTTATTAATGTAGATGTTAAAGGAAGATGAGGGAAAAGGACAATGATTTAATCCCTCAATCATTGGGTTTAGTATCTAATATGCTATTTTAGGTTTTCACATTGTTGAACCATTTTTTTTTTTACAAACTTCGAATTAAGTAGGCCAGTAAAAACTACATTGGTGAATTTTTGCCGCGATTTGTTCTTTGCTATGGTGGTGTCAGAAGATACTTACAAAAGTTTTTGAATGAATGAGTGTAAATCTGTATCTAAATCTAATTCTAAATGGTGTAGTCTACAATTGCTTCATCAAACCATCAGGACTCGCCTCAAATAAATAAGGGTCGTCATATAGAATTTCTTCTTTTGCTACATGTGACATCATTTGAATGATATTTAAGGATATATAGCATATTAGAAAACCATGACCTTTTAGTCACCGTAAGGCTCATCCAAAATTCATCATTTCTTTCAGGGTTCTTTAGCTTTGAGAGATGGTCAGCCACTACTTTACTAACTCTCTTTGTAAGTCAAACTCTAACGACAAAAATATCTATCAGAGTAACTAAGGCTTAGAATCCTCCTGATGAATAAATAATTAAGTAGTATACGATTTACCAAAACAACTTTTAAACAAAGGCAAAACTTTTGCAAAGCAAATAATATCGTTAATAGTCCTATTCTTCATTTGATTGATGGTTTTAGGTAAAAAAACATGTGTAACAAGATGAAAAAGTGAAGAGGCATCATATAGTACATGATGTTTCAACATGAGGTACAATATCTAACTTTAGTCTGTTAGCGAGATTTCGTGAGTAAATTTGTGCGCTATTGTGTTTGTTTTTACGAAGATTTGTTGTTTATAAGTTGTATCTTTTAGCAAAGATATTTTTAAGAAAGATTTGATAAAAAGATTGCTGAAGACCAAATCAAATTAAATGAAGATTTAAAGTGAATGAAGATCATATCAAATCAAATCCGTTGTTCAATTTAAATGGACATTGAAGAAAAGTCCAGCATATGAATTGTTATATAAAGACTCATTCCTAACAAAGAAAACACAAGCAAGAGTTGAAGATCTAATGTGTTAGTGTTTATTATTCGAGTCTTTGTTCTTGATGTTATTTGTGTACCTATATAGCGGCTAAATTTCCTATCTAAGAAAAAAATGATTAATCAACAAACCACTTGTGTTGAATGACACCAACTATGATTATTAGAAAGCTAAAATGATTTTTCCTTAAATCCATGGAAGATCTTGTGTCTATCTCTCAAGATGGAACATCAATATTAAAGCTAGAAGTTGCGTGATCTAATGCCGAAGATGAAAAAGCTCTTGGAATCCCAAAGCCTTGAATTCTATTTCCAATGGTGTGGACAAGAACCTGTTTAAATTAATAATCAAATGTACCGAAAGCAAAGATGTGTGAGAGATCCTAAAAAATGCACATGAAGGCACATCCAAAGTTCTTATGTCAAGGTTGCAGTTTCTCACAACTAAATTTGAGAATATTAGAATGAAAGAAGATGAATCCATCTCATACTTCAACGTTCCCCTTCGTGACTTAGCCAACACTTCTTTTGTCTTAAGGGAGAAGATGTTTTAAGAGAAACTAGTAAGAAAAGTCCTTAGATCACTACATAAGAAGTTTGATATGAAGGTTAAATCTATTGAAAAAGCTTAAGACTTAAATAAAATCAAAATTTATGAACTCATTGGTTCTCTACAAACCTTTGAGATGACTATAAGTGATAAGTCTGAAAAGAAGAATAAGAGTATAATTTTTGTATCCAACTCTTAAGAAAATGAAGATCAATGTGAAAAGGATACTAAAGAAAGTTTCTCTGATGCTATAACTTTTCTTGGTAGAAAGTTTAACCAAGCCTCGAAGATACTGGACAAAATATCGAGGATAAATATTGAAGATTAAATGTCAAACAATTTGCAGAATATTGGTCCCTAACGCAAGAGCAAAGGTGAAGACAAACCCAACAAAGGCTAAGGAATACAATGTTTTGAATGTGAACGTTCTAGTCACATTAAAGCTGAATGTCCTATATTTTTAAAGAAGCAAAAAAGGGAATGTCAACCACTTTGTATGATTCTTAAGATGAGATTGAAGAAGAAACAACTAATAGGGTGATGAATTTCATTGGAAAATATGAACCTAGTTGTGAGTTTAGTGATAAAGACATCTCTGATGAAGAGTTTACTGAAACATACAAACTTTTGTACATCAAGTGGAAGGAATCATGCATGGTAGGAGAGAACAAAAGAAAACTATAAGTGCTCTCCTTCAGGAAAATGACAAATATTTCTACCATCACCGGTCTAGAAGAGGAGGTCACCCTGTTAAATTCCAACTAGAAAATATAAAAAAACATGTTCGTATATTGAGCAATGGTTCAAATATGCTGGATGAAATCCTAGAAGTTGGTAAGATATCTAGGAATGTGAAAGGAATAATATTTGACTACGTCTACATGAGAAAAGAAACAAAAGTTCCCACTAAAAAGTTATTCCCCCTTGAGAAGAAAACTGAGTATCTAATGGTGGATCATATGTCTCAACAACTTGATCGACATATGTACCATCAATATTGAGGAAAAAAGAGCTCTTCTTGAAAATTTCATCATTGTGGAAGATATGGCCATATAAGGCTCTATTGCTATAAATTGCATAAATATCCTCAGTCATATGGTCAACCAAAGCTCAATAGAAAAAAAGGCAAGAACATTCGAGCTAGAAAGTGTGGAAACCCAAAGAAACAACCACAAGTCCCATTGCTCATACAACTCTTAGATTTTCCTCAAGAGAAAATTGTTACTTTGATAGTGGATGTTCAAGGCACATGACTAGAGAAAATAACTATCTAGAAGAGTTAAAACCATACTCCAATAGTTATGTTACTTTAGGTAATGGAGTTAGAGGAAAAATTAAGGGTATATGCAAACAAGTTTGTCCAAGTTTCCCTTGCCTTGATGATGTGCTGGTGGTAGAAGGACTCTAACTTCTAACTTGAGCATTATTAATCAACTATGTGATGAAGGTCTGAATATGATCTTCAAAAAATCAGAATGCACTGTTACCAGCAAAAGCAGAGAGAGAGAGAGAATAAATTCTTGAAATAATCAACCACATGAGAGCTATGAACCTCTTGATTTGAGACAATATTTCCATCAATGATAAAAGCAAATATATTCCTAGTAGCACTTTTTATCTTAGAACTTATGTAAAAGTATTTTACGTTTCTATCTCCATCTAAATGCGATTTGACATTAGATTTTTATTTCCAAAATAAGTTTTCCTTATGAAAATATTCCTCAAGATTATTCATGCAAATATTTTCCTCAGACTTGAGAGTTTTAGAGTAACCATTAGCTTGTATCTTGAGTTGCATTCAATTCAACTTCTTTTTTACATTAGTAACTAAGTGGTGGACATTGCTAAAAGTTTCTTTGTCCATATTTTCAAGTTATTTTTTAGCAACTTTAGCTTTTCGATAGGATAAACATATGGCAATCTGAAACTTTCATATTCCGAGTGGATTTGATAACATCTAAGCAAAGAGGGTGAGAAATCCACATTTGTTGAAATTTAAATTGGCAAGCATTAGAAACTATGGTGTTATTAAAATTAAGCATAAAATAAAAGTAGCCAGATCTTACTTTAGTTAGCATGCAACAAGAGTTATGATTGAAAAGTTCGAGTCATTCCATGTTACAGATTACTCTATCCAGTCTCTTGAGAGTGCTAACGCTACCAACTCTACCATTAAACAAAGTGTAATAAGCTCAAGCTGTGGACAAATGCAACAACTCATTTTGATTGGACCAATCTTGAGATTCCTGAATTGGGAGTTTAATAGGGGAGGTGGCTCTAATGTGCTCATGGGCACCAATGACCACATTAAAGTCACCCAAGATGCTCCAAGGAATTTTTTGATTCGAGATGATATCAGATAAATCATGCTAGAGGAATCTTCTTCTGATATAACTAGTTGATGCATAAATGGAAATCAACCCAAAACAATTATTCTCAAAATTAGAAGTGAAAGCAATGTGATGTTCACCTATAGATAAGATAACATGATCAAAGGAACACTTGCAAAAACACCATAAATTAGAAATTTTATTATGCCTATCATTAATAGAAATAAGTTTTAAACCAAGATTAGAAAACCAATTTCGAGAGAAATTTTCATAATTCATCCAAAGTTTAGAAATAAATAGAAAATCAAGATTTTTCTTAATGACCAATCTTCTAAGAGCCAATTTAGTGGGATTATTGGACAAACATATTGAATTCCAATAGAGAGAAATCATATCAAAGGATAAGTTTGACCAACCTTAGAACGGGTGGATACATCCACTAGAAAACTTGACTTTTTTCTTCTTACTCTCGCCTCTGACCAAGGTGAAACCCGGAGGTTCAGTTGAGGACTCTTCCAAATCCGAAGGATCCAAATCATACTCACTTTGTTTTTTTTCCAAAGCCTCCCAAGAGTCATGTAAAAATTTCTTATTCCTGTCTGTTCCCGAAAGGATAATTTTC